AGGGTGAGGTTCTGAGACATGAGGGGTCCTGTAGGCTCAGGTGAACAGCCTTGGCTTCAGCCCAGGGCAATGGGGGAGCTGCAGGGGGCTGAGCTAGAGAGGTGTTAGGAATCCATTTTGAGGCAGACATGGGGAAGAGGATGTGGAGGAGGTAAGGGCTGGACAGGGTCAGAGCAGGGGCTCGACCAGCTGCATTCAGACCCCAGCCCACCACTCACTCAGCTTCTTTGGGTCTTGAATAAGTCTCCCTCTGCCACCTGCACCCCCACCTCCCTTATCCAACACTGAGGGGTTGGAAATACTCTCATGCTGGAGAGTCCTGGGTGTCTGTCAGCACAGAGCTTCTAGGGACCAGGTGAAGCCCACAGAACTGTTGCCGCTTGGCCTCTGATGTCAGGCAGGACTCGATGAGAAGGTGGCCCGCGGCTCTGGGCCCTCAGGCTCCTGTCTCCATCACTGCTCCCACCTGCAGGGAGCAAGGGCAATGGTGATGGTGTCATGCCAGATTCGTGGGACCCCAATAGACCTCCAGGAGCCGAATCCAATGCAAGCAACAAGAGTCTTTATTGCAAGCTCGAGCCTGGACTCACAACTGTTCCCGACGCAGCGGTCCCAGGGAGTGAGTCCTGATCCTTTGTTCAGTGAGATTTAAAGGTTTTGGGGGATACTGTATGCGTCACAGCATCACACAGCGAATCATTTCACACTGCGGGGAAGTCAGACAACAACTCTTAACATTGATTAGCACATTCACTGGCGGGAACAAGTTGAGTAGGGTGATTGGTTAGTACAAGAGGGGGGTTCCTTTGAACTGATTGGTTTAGGCCATGAGGGGAGTACGTGCTAAACTACATGGTTTCCCAACATGTTATCAACCACCATAAACTACTGGGGGGTCATCTGGCATCCCAGGTATTCTCCCTGTCTCAATCTGATTGGTGGTTGCTAGGGGGGTTGCTATGGGTCCTCACCTAGCCTGACTGAGTCAGGGACACCTGGCACAGCAGATCTCTCCTGTTATTTACAGACAAACAACTCAGCAGGGCGGGTATGGGCCTAGGATTGCTCTGTGGGTTTTTCCCAGGACAAGGGTCACGCCCCCTTCCTTGGACAGGCTTTGCTCTGAAGTAGAGGCTGGTTTCTCAATGCTTTCTGTCTGTGTTAGGTGGGATGTGCCCCTCTGTAATTGACAGAAAACTCAAATCCAACATGCTCAAACTGAAGGAGGATTTATCAGCCCCAAGATAGGGATATCTTCAGGAGTTGATTTGATCCAGACACAACAAACTGCCATCACAGGCCTGTCTTTCCTGGACTCTGTTTCCTGTGGTGTGGGCTCTGTCTTCAGGTGGTTATCCTCATGGTGGCAGAATGAATGTTGCTCTGCCAAGCATCATGTCCTGTATCCTGCCATGCAGGAGGCAACTTTATGCCACAGAACCCCACTCAAAACACTTCTCTGTTATGGGCACAAATTGGGTGACATGCTACCCAGAGAGGGGAACCGTGAGATGGGATTGTGCTCAGCTGTGTAGCAGGTGTTGCTTCCATTTCCATACAGCCAGGGATGGAATCATCTCCCTCTTTTCTACACTCCTGATGCCCAGCCTGGGGATGCCCAGAAGAGGTGTGGGATCTAGGGAAATGGGTGGGGAGGTGCTGTCACAATCTGGGGCTGCTGGGCTCAATGAAAGGTAGGACATCCAGTTACACTGTTTCAAATAAATGACAAGCACTTCTTTTGGGGACCAGTTTGGGACATGTCTATACTAGAAAACCATAGTTGCCTGGAATTCAGATTAAAGAGGGCATCCTTGGTTGACCAGGGCCAGCCTTCCTCACACTTCTGTGTGAGGAGGAGTCCTGAGGGTGAAGGTTAGAATGCAGATTCGGATTCTGTGGTGTGGGGAGAAGCCTGGGAAACTGCACTGTCCACAGCACAGTTGCCAGTGTGCAGCGGAGGCCCCCACTTTGGGGAGTAGAGCAGGTAGCTCAGAAGGGAAGTTGCTGGCCAGGGAGAAAACTCAGGAGGTGCTTGCTGACTTAACAACGGGGAGATCTGCAGAGGGTGGCTGTGCACTTCTCTGAGTACAGGGCTTCACAGCAACGGGACTTCAACAGCTGCAGACCCTCCGCCTCCGATCTGCCAACTGCAGCTGCTCCTGACGGGTGGGGCGGTGTGGGACGACATTCACATGGGGCTGGCAGCAGCCCTAGAGGCATGCTTCGCGCCTCAGAGAGCTGGCCACTGGGGCTTTACTGCTCAGCAAGAGCCAGGCCCCCAAGTGCAGTGCCTGGAGACTGGGCTCTTCAGTTACCAGTGGCAGAGACCCACATGAAGTTAGCAGAGGCCTTCCTGGGGACCTCCTGGGGACTCTGGAGAGACGTCTGAGGAAAGGAGAGCGTAAGCTTCAGCACGGCTGGTGGAACTGGGGCACCAGGGCCTTCTGGCTAGGATGGCTGAGCCACGGGTCATGCCCTCTCACCCCTCACCTACATGCCCAGCCTCATTTTCTGCTGTGGCCTCCTCTGCATGGTGGGGGACAGGTCACCATTGGCTCCAGAGCCTCCCTGTCCCAGTGTCTGCCTAGGAGTGCAGACTTGTGGGGCCACAGAGGAGAAGGCCCCTGGCTGGCTGGTGTGGATCCCGGGAGGCAGTGAGAGCTCTGCTGTTCTCTCTATATGCAAACCCAGCACTCCATCATACTCAGCGTCTCTGCTTCAAATCATTGCATCTAGAGGACAATGACGTTTGGGGGTGGGGGTGGGGCTGGCAGTTAGGCATACATCTGAAAGTCTGCATCAGGGAGGGCAGCTGCAGGAAAAGTATCTCTCCATTAGAAGTCGTTTCTATTCATATTTTAAAAACATTTTCATTTGTGGTAAATGCACATAGCTTAGCCATCTTTAGTTGTATAGTTCAGTTTAATTATTTTCCTTTTGTGCTTCCAGCGTCACCAAAAGTGAAATGAGGCACCCTAACCAACACCTCTCCATTCCTCCCACCGGCCCTCTGGTGATCACAGGTCTGCCTATCTCCGAGTTTCTCCACTCTCAGTACTTCCTGGAGCGGAGTCACACAGTTTCTTTTCTGACTAGCTCAGGTCACCTAATGTCTGCAAGGCTCCTCTGTGCTGTTGCACATGTCAGAGTTCCTTTCCTTTCTAAGGCCAAACAATATCCCATTTTGTCTATGCATTCATCTGTCCATGGACACTCAGGTGGCTCCCATCTCTCAGTTACTGTGGACAAAGCTGCTATGGCCATGGGTATGCAGATCAGACGCTGCTCTCTACTTCAGACGGGCACCCGGTGGGAGAATGGGTTAACACAGGGTCAACGGGGGACCCAAGCTTCTCTGGCTTTGCTGTTTCCTTTGTTACTGTCCATGTCCAGCCAGCAAGAGGGGAGACAGTGAAGCTCCTAAAAGCCTGGGCCTGGAAGTGGCCTGTGTCACCTGTACTCCCATCCCATTGGTGAGAACCCATCATGAAGCCACACTGAGATGCCGAGAGGACAGTGTAACCCCAGGAATGACCTTAGGCCAGAGGAAGGGAAGAGCGTGGGTTTTAGTGGTAACGGAGCCACTGCAACCCTGCCCTGTGGTTGAGAAACATCCCAGTGCTCGTTTGGTTGTTTTACAGACTCAGAACTAGCAGTTTCCCTCTCATGTGAAACTCAGCAGGCACTGTGCCTGTCACAGAACCATCAAGTGCCTAAGTCACCCTGTCTCCTAACTCCACCATCTTCTACGTGTGGCTTCCGTCTGGTGATCCAAGCCAGCTGCTCCAGATCTCAGTGTTTGGTTCTGTTTGGCCAGCTAGTAAGGGAAGGGGACAAAGAGTGAGGAAGCTGCCCTTTCACTACAGCCTCCACAGGACACCTGCTGACCTAATTCAGAGGAACACAGATGTGGTGTTTCTTGTACATGGGCTGTGTGTGCAGAGTTCATACACATGATCATAAATCTATAGCAGCATACTCCTTCTTTACTAAGATTTGTTTTAAAAATTGCCTTTGCAGTATTTTTGAAGCTGGGACACAAACATATCTTACTATAGGCATGCAAAGACATTGCAAAGACATTGAGTGTGCAATCTCGGGATTCGTGTGGACTGACCTGAGGATTCCCCGCAGCTGTAGCATGAAATGGCTAATAAGTAATCATTGTCCCATTGCCGTTGGGGTTTAGATGAGCCAGGGAGCGAACTGAGCGACGTTCACAGGTGTTACTACACACATGGTCTTCCCGCCCCGTTTCACAGATAAGAAAGTGAGGCTGAGAGAGGTGTCCCATCACAAGTTAAGTGTAGCGCTTGTGTCTCTGACTCCCAAGCTTGCTGTCCTTTTCAGTGACGACAACATAAAATGATTATAATTAACCTGCAGCTTAGGTCACATTAGGGGAGAGGGAGTAAAATAGGGAAGAGAAGACACCAGGGGCTCCGGCTCACAGACACTGGTGTGGACCATTATTTAAAAATACGTGTTTTAAGGCCCTTGCTTGAGGGCCGCCCTGGGCGGCGGGCGAGACGGGTCGCGGGGCAACGGCCCACACAGGAGCCCTGCCTGGCAGCGCCGGGGCCCGCGCGGGGACGGGGACTCCCGCTGCCGAGTGCACAGTCACGGCGAAACGCACCCTCGCGAGTCGCTCAGTGAGCGCCCTGGCCGCTCGCGCTCCGCAAGTGGGGAGGAGACCCATTACGAAGCCTGGTTGTGCCAGGACCTAGGGGAGGCACCGCGCGTGTCGCGTCCTTCGGCAGCGGGAAACTGAGGCCGACAGGAGCGGCAGGGACAGGCTTCCCTGGCGCGGCGCCTGAAGCGCAGCACTGTCCGGCAGCCGTGGGGCCCAGGGCCAGATCCCGGGACGGAAGGGGTTACCATGATAGAGACGACAGGAGGACCGGGTGGCGCGAGCGTCCCCGGGGTGGCGCGGCCTGCGGACCGCGCAGGCGCGAGCGGCCGGCTGGGGGCCGCCCAGACACCCGGAAGTCAGCGCCTAACGGGCCGTGCCGAGCCTGCTGTCCTGGGAGGGGCGGGGCCGGCGCCCCTCGGCGCGAGGCGCCATAGAGCGGGGACGGAGGACTCGGGTCCTAGACGCGTCCGGAAGTGGCTTCCTTCGGCGCCGCTCGGCACCATAGAGCTGGGGGGCTGCGGCCAGGGGTCGCGGAGCCCTCCTGCCTAGAGCGGCGAGGACGGGGTGGCGGCCCGGGCGGAGGGGCAGGGGAGGGGGAGCGGCGCGGGCGGAAGCGGCCGGGAAGGTCACTTCCGGCCTGGGCGCCCGTCCCCCTGACCCCAGGGTCTGAGTCGCCGCTGCCGCCGCTGCCACCATCCGCGAGGCAGGCGCGAGGAGGAGGAGTGCGGCGCGGTGGCCCCGGGCCGGAGGAGGTGAGGGCGGCACGGGCGTGGGGGGCGTGCATCGGGGGTGGCGGGGGGCGCGCGTCGGGAGCCAGGCTTCGCACGGGGGTGGGTGGGGAGGCGGGCGGGCGAGCGCGGCCAGGCGGGCGAGCGCGCGTGCGCGCCGTGGGGGGGGGAACGTGAGCGGGCGCGCGACCGGGGACTGCGCGTGCGCGCGACCCGCGGTTCTGGGGCAGTGCGCGGGCGCGCGGCACGGTGGCGCGCGTGTGACTGTTGGGCTGGGCCGGGTCGGGTCGGGTCGGGTGGCTGGGTCCGGGGCTTCTCCGTGCCGCTCGGCACCTCCGCCCCCCGCGGCCGGAAGTGCTGGCGACTTCGGGTGGGGGGGAGTTGAGGCCGCGCGGGGCCGGGCTGGCCGGAAGCGGCGGCCGGGCCGTCGCGGCCCTAGGTCTCGCGGGTCTCTTCCTTCCTTCCCCTTTCCGAGTCGGCGTGGTCCGCTGCTGCCCCGGGCGGGCCGCTCTGCCCTTTGATCCACGGGTAATTACGGGGATGCGGGCAGCGAAGGCCCATTCATTCCCCCGCTCGCCGGCGGGCGGCAGGAAGCGCGTCCCGGGCAGGAGGCGGCCGGGCCAAGGTCAGCGCCGCGTGGCCGCGCGGGGCCAAGGCCGCGGCCTCCCTGCGCGCCCCGCCGGCCGCCGCGCCTCCCCCGCTGCCCCTGTGGCGGCCGGGGGAGCAAGTGAAGTGAGGACGGAGGCCGCCTGTGTCCACCCGTGCTGGGCATCAGGGACCGCGAGACAGCACGGGCCCAGGTGGAGGGCTGACAGCGAACCCTGACAGGGCACCACCCTGCCAAAGCCCGGCTGGGTCCGGGAGCCACCCCGACCAGCCCTTGGGGCCTCAGGAGGGCAGCGACTTGTTTTTTTCCCTGTGGTTTTCTGGTTGCAGGCTCCTGTTGGGCAGTGCAGAGGAGCCAGTTGAGGTCTGGCCTCGGTGCTGGGCCAGCACAGTGTCCTGGCGCCTTGGCAGACCCTGAGCCTCTTGGGCTCAGTTTAGACCCCTTGCCTCTGCCCAGAGAACATCCCGTCAGTCAACAACTTGTGGTGCCGCAGGTCCTAACCTTCCGAGCTGAGCGGAGGAACGGGAAGGGCTTATCCTGCCTGGCACATGGCGCAATGCCAGAGTGAAGAGAGGCGCTGGCCGGCCGGGAGTATTCCCCAAGAACGCTGGGGCGCCAGTCCTTCAGCCTGCCCTCCTTCCTTCTACAGCCCGAGACAGGAAATTACACTCCTTTTCTTCCTGGACAGCCCTGGTTGATAAGGACAGCGTTAGCCTCAGTAGAAGGCTCTTGATACTTCCCTTTAAGAGCCAGGGCAGAATTCAAGAGGTCAGTGTAAAGCTCTGGAAAGGGCTCTGGAGCCAGGCATTGAGTTCCCATTTTGGCCCAGTCTAGTCCAGTTCTGTGACCTTGGATGTGTTACTTCCTCTTTCCTGGACTGTTTCTTCTTCCCTCCTGCAATGTGAAGAGCCTGGTGAAATTCCCTTAATAAACTAGTCCATCAAGGACGCAGACACAGGTGGTTCCAGTGTATTGCTGTGCTGTGGGGCCCCAGACTGGGTGGCAGAGGAGGGTCCCAGTGCCTCTTGAGCCAGGCCCAGTGGCTGTAGAGAGATGGGGTGATTTGCCAGAGTGGCCCCAGAGACTCAGAGGGAGTGCACTGTGGTCAGGTGAATGTGCAGGGCCAGCAGCACATCTGGGGTAGATAGAGTAGGAAATAGCCAAGAGGACCCAGGGACCTCAGGGGGATGGCAGGATGCATAGTCAAGGCCATAGCAACTGTGCAGCTGCTGCCCCAGGGTCTTCTAGTCACTGATGAACACCCAGCTCTTAGGACTGTACCCAGACACACCTCATAGGCTTCCGTGAACCTGGGTTAGTTGTCCTCTGGAGCTGAGGTCATGCCAGTATTGGGCCTTGGTATTTAGCGGTCTGCAGACTTGACACTTGCCATGCATTTAGTGTCTGGTGTTGCCCTGAGTTCTTCAAGGCCCTGGGGCAGAGGTGGTTACCCCATTTAGCAGGATTGAATGGAGGCTGGTCAGTGCTCACAAGCTCCAGGACCCACAGCACCATCAGAACACTGTGCTGTGTTTAGTTCCTGTGCTGGCCTTTGACTGCTGTACCACCCCTCTGCTGGCTTGATTGTTTTGGCTAAGAGCCGAGTCAGAAGAGATGAACCCGATCCGAAGGCCTCTTAGTTGTAGAGTTGTGGTCTCTGGGTTCCCCATTCTGTGGGGTGCACTGTCATGAGAACTCCATGCAGGGCTGCTGGCTGCCTCAAGGGACTCTTTGAGAACCAGCCTCCCATTTTAGGGGTCCTGCAGCATAGGGAGAGATTCATGCCAGCCAAGTGGATGGGGGAATTGGGGTTGTCACACTGCTAGTGCTGGTGGCCCTGTCCTAGGAGCTCAGAGAGCACGTGCCTTACTGCTATGGAGGAGCCAACCAGCTTGAGCCCTGGCCCAGGTGGGCCAGGCCACTGGGGCCCTCCCCAGTGGTTTCCACACTTGCCTTTGCCATCCCCTTTGCCCTCTCCCTGTGAGCTTGCAAACAGTGGCTTCTCTATCCTGTGCTGAGGGGGGAGCCCTGTCCAACCTCCCCCAGGATGCCTGGCCTTGCAGTAGATGATACTAGGAACCCAGGGAAGATCAGATGAAGTCGCAGACTCAGTGCTCAGGGTCAGGCTGCTCAGAGCCATTGATTCCTGAGGGTGCTGTAGGGTTTGTGCTGGGCAGTGCTGCGAGTAGTCTGTGCCCTCCTTGAGGACATACTCTGCTGGACGCTGTTTAGGACTTGCCAGGGGGTCCCATGGCAGGAGCCACGGAGGTTAGGTAGCCATCTTTCCTAGGGAACAGGTCTCACCCATGTTAGCAGGCGCTGACAGGGAGCCAGTGCCAGCACTGAGAGACTGCAGACTGTGTCTCGGCTGGGGCTCTGTGGCTCTGGCATCGCACCAGCCACACAGCCTGTCTCAACCTCTGGATCAAATGGCAGTGATGGTGTTGACACCTTCACTGTGTCTGCTGCTGCTTGTCGAACTCTCAGCGTGCCTTATCCTGTTGGATCCCAATCCTGGCCCTGGGAGCGCAGGACGGACACACAGGCAAAGCACCTTGCCCAGGTCACTGGCTGCTCTGGTGGGGCTGCTTGCTGACCCAGCAGCCTGCCTGGAGAGATTGTCCTTGCGCCTCGCCATCTCTCCTAGGTGTTAGGGGATCAGGAGTGGAGCTTATGTGCTTACGGCACTCTGTGCCTGCGGGTCTGGGGCTTGATCTGTGTCCATGAATGTGCTCTGTTGCCTCGGGGTAAGGAGGACAGTGGAGCTGGGGGAAGGGGCAGTCGGACAGCTTCCAGGCAGGGGCCATTGATGATGGGGCTTGTCAGTGGGCACACTGCCTCAGCAGAGAGCAAGCTAGAGAGGCGAGTGAGGTAGGGGCAAGTATGTGTTGCTGGAAGGTTGATGGGAGGGTGTACGCCCAACCAGAAAGTGCCCTGCTGGGGGCTGGTCCGTGCTTGTTCTTGCCTATCTTTTAATATGCTTTTTTTTTTTTAAGGGGCACTATAGATTGAACCCAGGGGCACTTAACTACTGAGCTATACCCTCTAGCCCCTTTTTATTTTTAATTTTGAGACAGGGTCTTGCTAAGTCACTAGAACCTCACCAAGTTGCTGAGGCTGGCCTTGAACTTTCTATCCTCCTGCCTCAGCCTCCTGAGTAGCTGGGATCACAGGTGTGTGCCATCATGTCTGGCATGTATGTTAATTTTTAAGAGCAGTTTTAGGTTTGTAACAGAACTGAGTAAAATTTGCAGGGCTCCTGTGTGTCCCTGTCTTTCTGCCCTCACCGTGGCCATGTTTGTTAACCCCGATGAACTCGCGTCACCTGTTACCACCAGAGTCCATAGTATACGTTCTGAAGAGTAATCTATTGGGTTTTAGCAGGTTTCAGTTATTTGCCAGCATTTGAGAATCTGAGTGTTGGGAGTAGATCTGAAGATCAGCATGCACAGAGGGCAGCCCGTGGCCAGGGAGGGGCAGGGTTGCTCCCCAGGGACCTGAGCTCCTGCCACTCCAGCTGCACTGCAGCTTCACAGTAGGTGAGGGTTCTAGAAATGTCTTGTGGAGAAGGCGGGTGTGACTCCAGGGCAAGAGCCATCTATGTCCTGCTCAGTCATGTGTGGGGAACCAGGGGGGCTGGGCACTGGTCTGCTGAGGCAGCAGAGGTGCCCAGCATGTGACCTTGAGTGGGAAGAAGACTGGGAGGGGGAGCAGGTGCCCTGTGGTGCTCCCAGCCACCTTTAAATGCAGCCTCAAATGGACTGAAGCGCAGATAGTGTTCTCAGAGAATGTGGTCTATCAGAAGTGGCTCCAGGTGAGATGCGGGAACCTGGGGCTCACCCCCAAACAGGACTGAGAGCCTGACATGCGTCAGAGTCGATGGTCGGGCCTCGCCCCAGGCTCACGTGCTGAGGGCCTGGCTTTGGCCTTGTGCAGATGTAGTCCTGGGATCGGGGGGCAGGGAGGGAGGAGAATGGGTTCCAGGACTGGCACGAGCGAGGATGGGGGAAGGAGGTGGTGGGGAAGCAGTAGTGGTTCTGTTGGGCCCAGGAAGAGGTGGGGGCGGTAGGATGGAGAGGTCCACTGAGGTCATGAGTCTGTGTCTGGGACTGTGGGTGCAGGGGAAAGGGGGAGGCACACCTAGAGCTCACCCTCAAGGAACTTGTGGCCAGGAAGGAATAGACAAGGTGACTAGAGGGTGGGAGGTGGCCAATGGTGGAGCACCTGCCTGCCGCGCACAGTGCCCTGGGTCCAATCCCCAGCACCGCAGGAACCAAGAAAGGATGATGAGAGGTGGAGGAAGAAGGGGACCCTTGAGCCCACCCTTGAAAAGGGGAATGGGCTGGCAGGTGGAGGATTGGGCAGGGCTCTCCAGAGAGAAATGCTAGGTGTGGCCAGGAGAGGTGGCAGTGCACAG